AATGCAGAAAGCTAGACATAATGTCAGAGGTTTGTAAGATGTCACAAATTTTTAAATTTCACCTTTTTATATTAATCCAGGCTCTCATTCCTTATTATTTCAAGCACCAACATCTGCAGAGACGTGTAATTTATAAATACTCCATATACAAGTAAAACAGAATGGTAATAGTGACAAGAGAATTTCATCTCTGTAGATATAACTAGAAGAAAATTTTAAAATAAATCTTAATGTTGGGGCACCTGGGTGGCTCAGTCGGTTAAGCATCAGACTTCAGCTCAGGTCATGATCTCGCAGTTCGTGGTTCGAGCCCCATGTTGGGTCTCTATGCTGACGGCTAGCTCAGAGCCTGGAGGCTGTCTTCAGATTCTGTGTCTCCCTCCCTCTCTGACCGTCCCCTCCTGATGCTGTCTGTCTCTCTCTCCCTCTCTCTCTCAAAAACAAATAAAACATTAAAAATAATAAATAAATAAATCTTAATGTATCTTGTCAGCTCAGGAAAACCAGTGCATATATACAGATGAGTCTCAATTGTATTCTAAAAGTTGTCCCTACACAGAAAAATTACTTCAATAAACTTTCCTCTGAAGTGGAATGGACCATTTCATTAGTTATATGAAGTTCTTGAAATAGTGCCATGTCTATGATCCACTAACACACAAAAAAGTAAGGCATTCAAATGAAAACCCATGGAACTTTGATACAGGGTGCACTTGAGCAAAGCTACCTTTTAAACGTCTTCCTATAACTATCATCAAACCTTTACCTATGGCTACATACTAAAAAAAAAAAAAAGTGCATTGTCCTCAGCTGTAAGTATTTCTAAATACTGAGTTTGGCCTGGTTTTCATTTGGACCTAAAGATAATTTATTAAGTTAAATAGACCCTAATAAACATGCAGACCTGCCAACACTTAGACATAAGAGCTTCTCATCAGATGCCTCTGACCTAAAATCACATGAATTTTTTTATGGAAAGACCACATTTCTCTTTGCAGACTCTTATCCAGAAATTAAGAAAATGATTTCATGTAACCTGATGAATGCTATACTGGCCATAATTTTTCAGAAGATAAATCACTTAAAAAAAAAAAAAGGCAAAGGGGGGACATCTGTGTGGCCCAGTTAAGCATCCAACTTTGGCTCAGGTCACAATTTCATGGTTCATGAGTTCGAGCCCCACGTAGGGCTCTGCACTGATGGTGTGAGCCTGCCTGGGATTCTCTCTCTCTCTCCATCTCTGCCTCCCTTTCTTCTTCTCTCTCTCTCTCAAAATAAATAAACTTTAAAAAAATAGCAAAAATGCAAAAATAGATTCATGCTTATTAATGGGTACTTCCACAGCGGTCCAGAAATATTTTGGCTGTTTCTATTTGCTGTGTCTATCTATACCTGCAATTAATTTCTTCACTGAGCAATACCCAGAAACTACATGGAGATTTTAGTTTCTTCAGTTGTATAGGGTCCTCTTTTCTGGAACTTTGGGCAGTAGCTTTTCCCTTCTTTTGCCAACTTTGTGGCTTCATGTTGTTCTTGTCTGAATCCAGGTTCACATGTTCATCTTCAATCCTTTCAATCATCAGAACGAGCCTACAAATTCTGCCCTGCATTCAATTTATCACCCTCAAACCGCCCCCTCCTGCGATCATAACCTCTGCGATTCTCCTCTGTGTATGATTGTTCTCTAATGAATGGCGTTCCATTTATACAGCTATGTAGTCATTTTTTTAAAAAAATTTCTTGGGGCGCCTGGGTGGCTCAGTCGGTTAAGTGTCCAACTTCGGCTCAGGTCATGATCTCACAGTCTGTGGGTTCAAGTCCCACATCGGGCTCTGTGCTGACAGCTCGGAGCCTGGAGCCTGCTTCAGATTCTGTGTCTCCCTCTCTCTCTGACCCTCCCCCGCTCACTCTCTGTCTCTCAAAGACATTAAAAAAAATGTTTTTTTAATTCCTTGACACTGGGTGCACATGAACCGGATGTTCCTGATGCCTGTCTTTATTCTCCACAATGTAACCTAAGACATGTCTTTTCTCCCACCTTCCTGAACTTGACAGTGCCATGTGACCAAAGGTTTCATCATTGTTTGTGCTGCTTCTCCCCAGGTAGTTCTAAATATTCTATTTTGGACGTCTTAAATTCTCCTTTTTGATGTAGTAGAAATTTTTCTCTAAAAACTCATTTCACTAATGTGGTTTTGTCTGATGCCTGTTAGTTGGAGTCAAAGATTTTAGAAGTGAAAGAGGCCCCCTCGATTTTTTATCTCTCCCTCTGACTTCAGGAAGACACCTATTGTTCTCACTTAACAGGCAGTGCAACTGAAGCCCAGAGAAGTGACTCATTTATGGCCCCACTTCTATTAAGTAAAGAAGCAGAAGTTGGATCCCCAGCCCCCTGTTGAGGAGCAGTGGGAGAAGGGAAAAGGCAGTTGGCACCAGAGAAGGGAAGTCTCTGGGTCAGTAGATTAATTAATTGGTATTTGTGTGGAGAATTTAGCAGTGCTTGGACTCAAATCTATTAACACTTAAGGAGTATTAGTAGTGACCACTGAAACACTACGTAGTAAAAATTAGGGAAGAATGGGATTGAGCTCAAAGACTAATGCTCCAATCATCTAATGCTGCACAACAAACCACCCCAAAATCTAGGGGCTGGAAACAATATTTTGCTCACAAATCTGGAATCCAGGCTGAGTTCTGCAGCGACAGCTCATCTCTCCATGTTAGCTGGGATCGGTCACGGTCTGAGAGAGTCATCCAAAGGCTCACTCAACTCAGAGGTCTGGAGGACAGGGTATAGGGCTGTTGCGGTTCACGAGACAGCACTATCTATCTCCACGTGACCTTTCCACGTGGACCTTCCAGCATGGCAGCGACAGGAGGGTCGAGCTTCTTATGTATCAGCTCATTGTTCCCAAGAGACATAGCTCAAGAGAGTCATGTGGAAGATGCACGACCCTTTATGACTTAACGCTGGAAGTCATACAGCATCACTTCTGCCACATCCTCCTGATCAAGGTGATTACACAGTGTTGTCAAAAACTGACCTCTGGCTCCGGAGCCAAAATGTGTAACACGAAGGCAGAGTTTGAGTATAAAGAAGGTAGATAGTTTCTGGCTCTGCCAGGCAAAGGAGGCTTCAGCAGGCTGACTGTCCCCCAAGACTGCAAGCCCACCCACAGTAAAGGGCTCGGGGGTTTTACAGGAAAATACAGGGTCCAGGTGTAGGAATCTGGTACATGCTGCCAGCCGCCTTCACTATGCCCTCAAGCTAGTCTCATGACTAGCACTGGCACTGGCCATCCCAGTCTCACTACTAAGAATACGCTGAGATCAGTGAGATGTCAATATCAATACCAAGTTCCTGGAACAAAGGATTCTACAGAAAAAAACAAGTGAAGGGGAGGAGGAGGAGGCTTCAAGAATTAGGAAAAAAAATTTGTTCAGTTGAAAGTCAAGGCTTGCTGAAGCACCAGTGTGTACATCTTGATTTCCATCCATCTTTACGATTCTAGAGTGGTTTCAGAAGATCTTCCCAGATTCAAGAGGCAAGAACATAGACCGCCCCCCCCACCAGCTCTCGGTGGAAGAGCGTCAACATCATATTGTAAGAAGAGTACATGGGATGAGATCTATACCAGAGCAGCTGTCTTTGGAAAACACAATCTGCCACAACAGAAAACCCCACTGGATTACCAAACCACTGAAATAGAGTTGAAAGGGACCCTGAAAAGGCCATCCATTTGTCACTAACAAAGCTCATTCTGCAAAAGAAGCTCAAATGTAAATGTCCATTCCTGTTGGAATCTTTCTTTGATGGCCCCCAGCTTCTGTAGCCCTTTGTAAATACACCCACTCTTCCAATCAGGATATTCCATTTTCAAAACATGGTTGTGATCAGGCAGGTACTCTTAACCTGTCTATGAGCCAAACTTCTTGTTCTAATATCGGTATGGTGTAGGAAACGTCACAAGGAAAACAGTCTTCAGACCGATGGGGAAGTGACACTTCAGGGGAACCACAAGTGGCACTCTGCACAGAAAACAGAGCAGAGGGAAAGCATCAGCAATTCAGAGAAAAACTGACACCACACAAAGGAAATATATATATGTATATACACACATGCTTTTGTCCTACAGTGAAGGTAGAAGATGGGGTGCCTGGGTGGCTCAGTAGGTTAAGCAACATACTGTGGATTTCCGCTCAAGTCATGATCTCATTGGTGGGATTGAGCCCCATGTCAGCTCTGCACTGACAGCATGGAGCCTGCTTGGGATTCTCTGCCTCTCCCCATGTGTTCTCTCTCTCTCAAAATAAATAAATAAACATTTTAAAAATGTAGAAGACATAGCAGTACAGTAAATGAAGCAGCTAGGAGGGAAGAATAGCCTAAAGCAGCGTTCTCCAACCTCACCTGCATTAGAATCGCTTCGAGAGCCTGTTGAAACACCCCCAGAGATTCTGACTCAGCAGGTCGAGCCTGAGAATCTGCATTTCTCTCGGGTTCCGGGGCAATGTTGCTGCTTGTGGTCTGGTACCACGCTTTAAGAACTACTAGCCTCAAGGTTTTTAGACCTGGAAGTTGTGGCCACAGTGAAGCCCTGGTAAGGCTGACGGAACCAGAAGGGGCCCCAAGAGCGGGTGGGCAGAGATGACCCCAGAGACGGAAGTGGCCTGATTTTAACAGAGCCCCTTTCTCTTGACGGCTTCCCTGCTGGCCAGGGCGCGCTCGGGCCATTGCACCCCGGGGACCGGAAGGCTGACTCTGTTGGGCCGCCTCAGTCACGAGGCGCCCCCTCCAGACAGTCCTCGGGCCACGTCAGCAGCGAGCACACAAGCTGGGGTCCCACGGAGGTGGGTGGGGCTTACCTCCTTTCCTGAGGCTGTGCGGGCGCGGGGGCCGCGGAGATCCGAGTCCCCGCCCCCCGGCCGTGATTGGTCAGTGTCGCCCGAGCGCGGTGACGTCATGCCGGGGCGGAAAGTTTGGGAGAAGAGCGCGGGAGCCGAGACGGTGAGGGTCGGCTACATCCGGGAAAGGCCTGGCAATTGTTGTTCCGCCTCCAGGTGCTCCTTGGGAATCCCGGGCAGCTCCTCAGGAATTTCTACTACTACCTGCTACCTTAGAGTGCCTTTCTGCCTGCCCGGTGCCTAGGTGAGCATCCGAGTGGGCGAGTGGGACATCTGTACTTTCTGTGTGTGTGTGTGTGTGTGTGTGTGTGTGTGTGTGTGTGTGTGTGTGTTGGAGGAGGGGATTACTGTGCTCGTGTGGCATGGAGAGAAGAGAGTAGAGGGGGGAATATGCTCACTTTCCCAGATGCTCCGAGGGCATCCTCTCGTCCCCAGCACCCACCTTCTTAGCCTTTGGGATCACTGGTCTGATGTCGCTGGGCCTCTAGGAAAATAGGCATTCATTAGTTCTTCCAAAAGGTTTAAGTGTCTGCTGTGAGTTCAACTCGGCGCTAAGCGCAGAGTCCAGAGGTAATTATGTCCCAGTACTTAGAAGTGCCGGGGGCAAAGCAGATGAGTGATTTATATTTGAACTGAAGTGCACAGTTTCCTCACCCAAGGAAAGCACTTCTACCAGGAAGGCAAACAATTACTGCCTGGTGTGATAGATGCTCAATTCAAGATGTACCTGGAAACACTTTTAAGGGGCGACCTCTTTGAGAAACGGATACCCGACTTAAGGTTCGAAGGAAGAGGCAAAGAGTTGGAAAAACTCAAAGCCTATGAATTGACAAGCCACTGCCAGCGAGCCTCCACAATACCAGGTGTAGATATACAGTTGCCTTTTCTTGCAAACATATGGAAACCACATTGCAGGGCATTGGTTCTGTTATTCTCATTAGGTTCCTGGTTTCAGAGAAGATGACAGAGGAACTGGAAGTCACCGGACAGGACTCTGATGGGGATAGTGAAGAGGTGGTCCTGACTCCTGCGGAGCTCATTGAAAGGCTGGAGCAGGTAAGCAGTAATAATAGTGGTTATTTCACCATTGAGTTGCTGTGAGGGTTAAGTGAAATGATCTATGTAAAACGCTTACTGTATTGACTGATACATGATAAGCACTCAGTGTTAGCTGTAATAATCCTTACAACAATCCAATAAGGTAAGTATTACTGCCCAATGTGAATCAAGTATCTTTGACTCTAAAATGTGTGCTCATAATCTACTACTCATTGCCTTATTCTTGTCTTCTCCCTTTAACAGCCCCTTTCCAGAACTGTCTCATGTTTGTTACTTTAATATTCTCCTTACTGTCTTACCATGCATGTTATGAGTGACAAAGATAATTTAAAAATTGCATCTTATATGATAACCCTTACTGTATAGGAGTAATTCTTAATTTGTTTTTATATCACAGACCTTTTTGAAAATCTGGTGAAAACTGGCCCTTTTTTCCAGAATAATGTATGTATATACACACACATGGAGAAATTTTACATATAATTTCAGGAGGCTCACAGACACCCAGAAATCTGCCCACCTAGCTTAAGAGCCCCTGCTTATTAGGAAAAGATTCATTAAGCAAAAGTCCGAAAGCACAAAGCATAAAGGAAGAAAATGATGGATACAACTGCATTAAAATTAAGAACTTTTATTTTTACACCTTGATGACAGTAAAAAGACACACTGCAAAACTGGGAGAAAATGTTTGCAGTGTTAGTATCCAGAGTATCTAAACAAACTTCACAAACTACTCAATAGAAAAAATGAAGTCTGAACAGGCATCTTCCAGAAATGGAAACTAGGATGGCCAATAATCCTGTGAAAAAAGATGTCCAACCTTTTTAGTGATCAGGAACATGACAATTAAAATCCCGAGGAGATACTATTTCATACCCTGCAGATTGGCAGAAATGAAAAATGTGAACCATTTAGAGCAAGGATGTAGGACCATTTGCATACCTCTGTATGCTGCAGTGAATTTGGTGCCCTTTGGAAAATAATTTGTTGTCAAGTTAAAAGCATACATATCTTGTGTCCCAATCATTCTCTCCCAGGTACAACCTTAGAGAAAACTTCCGGGAGACGTGCACGAAACGTTCATAGTATTGCTTACAATAGTTAAAAACCATAAGTAGCCCAAATATCCATCAACAATAGAATGAATAAAAATCATGATACATAGACACAATGGGGAAAAAAACCTAGCAATAAAATGAGCGAAAGATAGCTCCTGCAACAACATGGGTCACTCTCAAGAGCATAATGTAGAACAATAAGAAGATGAGTTTTTGAAGAAACCATTTATGTGAAGCTCACACACTTGCAAAACTGTTTAAGTTAGAGGCCACGCTTGTGGCACACACTGGTGCACTGCAGTGCCTCATGATTTTGACCGTGTACCCTCTGGGACAGCCAGAGGCCCCAGGCTAGTTGCCCCTTGTGGGTATGAGGGGCTCCTCGGAAGGCAGCCCGAGGATAATGGGATCCGACAGCACAGCCTCGGTTTGTGGCAGGTGAGCATGACTTACATCTCGGGCCTGAGGCTCTGTTGCAGTGCCGAGTGCAGCCATGGCCGGGATCCGCCACCTGGACAGCCACTGGAGCTGGACACGGGCTTGGAGGCCGCAGAGCACGGCCTGAGGAGCAACCTGACAGTTTGTGGATAAACACAGCTCTGGGAGCTCGGAGAGGATACTCATGGATGCCTGTTAAAGAAATGATTTAAAACTTATTACCTACATTGCAGATTTTCTCATTTTAATGATTGTATTAATTTGCTAAGGCTATGCAATGAAGCACCACAGGTTGGGGGGATTAAATAACAGACATGTATTTTCTCAACTCCGGAGGCTAGAAGTCTGAAATCAAGGTCCTGCTGCCATTAGTTTCTTCTGCGGCTTCTCTCCTAGGCCTGTAGATGGTCATCTTGTCCCTGTGTCTTCACATGGTCTGCCATGTATGTCTATGTTCAAAGTTCCTCCTCATACAAGGACACAGATCATTGGATTAGAGCCCAGCTAATGACCTCATTTTAACTTGATTACCTCTGTAAAGACCTTATTTCCAACTATAGGCACATTCGGAGGTGCAAGGAGTTAGGACTTGAACATGTGAATTGGGGAGTGGAGACAGACACAGTTTACTCCATAACAATGAACAGATTGTCATTAAAAATTTTGATGGGGGGGGGCACCTGGATGGCTCAGTCGGTTAAGTGTCCAACTCTTGGTTTCGGCTCAGGTCAGGATCTCATGGTTCGAGAGTTCAAGCCCTGCACTGGTGGCATGGAACCTGCTTGGGATTCTCTCTCTCTGCCCCTCCCCCACTCGTCCTGTCCTTCTCAAAATAAATAAACTTAAAAAAAAATTTTTTTGGATCAGAAACCAGATACAGCTGTTTCAAACATAGAACTTGACTATTAAAAAAAAGAACGTGGATTTAAGTTTCTCATTAAATATTTTGAAAACATTTTATTTGAAGGCTTTATACATCTATAGATTTTCTCCTAATGTTTTATACATTGTTATCAAAATAATTGCATAATGTCAATGAGAAATCCCCCTGAAATCTACCCCATTTTACCCCAGAGTGTACCCAGCAAGTGCTATCATTTTCTTTGAAATCATTGGGAATTGTTATGTAGAGATATAAACAAATGTAGTGAGGGGCGCCTGGGTGGCTTAGTCAGTTAAGCATCCGACGTTCGCTTAGGCCATGATCTTGCGGTTCATGGGTTTGAGCCCTGCGTCGGGCTCTGTGCTGACTGCCAGCTCAGAGCCTGGAGGCTGTTTCAGTCTGTGACTCCCTCTCTCTCTCTCCCTCCCCCGCTCACGCTGTCTCTCTCTCTCTCTCTCTCTCTCTCTCTCTCTCTCTCCTAGAAATAAATAAAACATTTAAAAAAATAAACAAATGTAGTGACACTGTACAGAAAACTAAATACTAAGGTCAGGCTAGCGATTACCTTTGAAGAAGGAGGGAGACAGGAACTTTGAAAGTAATGCTAATACTTGTCATTGAAGTTTTGTGCACACACGTGTTTATATCTCCATTCATGTTATATGTAATCAATATTACTGTACCTATTCAGTATTTAGTGAAAGGAGTCAAAAAGAAAAACTCCTGCTTTATAAGTCCTGTATGACAATTTGGGCTTTTCTCATGCATATGCTACTTGAAACTACAGACTGTCTTTCTGGTTAACTTTTACAGCACTGTTACAGGAGGCTGAGCATGGGAAAAAATTTTTATGATAGTATTAGTACCTAGTATTTAATAACATGTCTTCATGGTGATAATTGGAGACGCAGAGACTCAAGGACATCAAGAGGAATAAAGTGAGCCTGATTGGCATGTCATTCTGAGCTGTGCTGAAACTAAATTTCCTATAATTGAAAGAGGAGATTAGTTTTCCTCAGTCATTTGTGGATATTTCAGTTCTCTAAGCCTTGGTAATTTCTGAAATGTACCAAGCATCTGGGCCTGAGTCATACATAAATTAAGGATTTAACCTCTTGTTCTAAAACTAATAGATGAATATACTTTTATATTGTGATCCTCTAGACTCTTTTTTTTTTTTTTAATGTTTTATTTAGTTCTGAGAGAGAGACAGCGTGAGCAGGGGAGGATGAGAGAGAGGGGGAGACACAGACTCTGAAACAGGCTCCAGGCTCTGAGCTGGCCGTCAGCACAGAGCCCGACACAGGGCTTGAACGCACGAACCATGAGATCATGACCTGAGCTGAAGTCTGACACTTAACCGACTGAGCCACCCAGGCGCCCCCTGTGATCCTCTGTACTCTTAGGCAGTTAGTAAATAATCTGTGTTTTCTCATTAATAAGATAAGGATAACTGTATCCATTTCTTCTCGGATGTTATAGTGATGAATGGAAATTATGTGTAAATTGGCTCTAAGCTTCAGGAATGAGATGTGTAGATTTAGGTATTCCTTCATCTCTTACTATAGAATGGTGCTGGTGCCCCCTGGTGGGAAATAGCAGGTGAAGAAGTAGAAATGTGTTGCTATTTGGTGAAAGGTACAGTTTGAACACCAGGTGGTGTTACTCTCAGTAGTAGGTATCATACTGACAACATTTTTGAAGTGAACACTGATTTATTTTGGTAGTGTTGGTTAGGATTGTAAACACAGGCTTCCCACTAAAAGAAAATCAATCATAAACGTAGCTTGTTTTCAAAGCGTTTCTAGTATTCCCAACTCATACGCGAACAGTCTTCTTTGCCAGAAATAGCTGTGGTTTTCGTGGGATATGTGCAGACTCACAGGGTTGTTTTGCTCCATCGTGAATGATACTGATATATATTGGGGGGGACATTGTTTTTTAGGCCTGGATGAATGAAAAGTTTGCCCCTGAGCTGCTGGAAAGCAAGTCTGAAATTGTAGAATGTGTCATGGAACAGCTAGACCACATGGTAAGAAGTGCTTTTGTCAGGGTTCCGAAGGAAGGGAACTTTGAAAGGGTCTGTTGGCATAGTGAGGGATTGTAGTCTGTTTCATTTAGCCCAGCCTTGTTTTGTTTTTAATATTAAGTCAGTTATCTGCATTTATAAAGCATGAGCATTCCTGTGAACATCCAGACATCAGCTTTCCCTGAGAAGTCTAAACCCTGTCAATACCAGACCCACATTTCTGTATGAGAACGGTTGACTGGAGCAGTAAGGGCCACCCCCTTTCATGTGCCCTCCACTCCCCACAGCCCCTAAATGCCCACCTTTCTCAGATACGTTGCCTGCCCGGCCCCCAGAGACACTTGAGTTTGTGGCCCTTGGCTTAGATGAGCTGGACTTAAGTCCTTATCAGCCTCAGAGTACCTTTAAAACATTGGTATTTTACAGTTTCTCAACTGGTGGTTTAACACTGCCCTATATTTTTTCTAAGGTCTAGGTCTAACTGACCCTATTCAGATTCTATTCAGATGGTTATTTTCTAAAAGTAAATGAGAATTGTTTGAACTTTTTATAATGAAGCTGTAGTCCTATCTATATTATTTGTGTATGAAAATGAGGACTCTTAGGAGGTTTTTTGTTCTCCTCTGACCTAAATGTCCTCAACACTGCCAGGGATGATAGTCCCCGTGGAATTGTGCAGATTAACAAAAAAGGTCCTTAGTCTGAATATCATGTTTTTTTAATACACTTCATTTTCTCTTTTAATAGGAAGAGAATCTCAGGAGAGCCAAGAAGGGGGACCTGAAGGTCAGTATCCACCGAATGGAGATGGAGAGGATCCGCTATGTCCTTAGCAGCTACTTGCGGTGTCGGCTCATGAAGGTTTGACGTGGAGATACCTGTGGGCATTAAGGCGGTGCAGTTTGTAATATAAACTAAGCATCTTGGGGAGAAGTTGGGCTGGGACCTGGGAGAGTCTGGGGCCTGAAGGTGCTGGTAGCTAAAGAGGGAAGAGGACAAAAAGTTATTCTGGAGAAGCGTGGATGGAACATGTGGTGCCCACTTCCGGGGACACGTTTGTAGTCTCTTTATCTGCTGTGTGAACAGTGCCCTGTAGAATTACAGCACGGTAGTGCCGAAGAGTCGCTTGCGTCAGTTGACCAGGGAATAATGACCAGAGGGAAACCACTTTCAGAAATGACTTTGCACCCATCGTGTCGCCAGCATCAGGCTGACCGTGGTAACTTGACATTCACCTATAGTTCTGAGGCCATCTGACTTATGAAAATTAAACTACAGAACATTCTTGTTTTGTAGGATGTCTGTTTTAACCCTAGAAAGTCCCTCCTTCCTTGAAGTTTCTTCCCATTTGGTTCCACTTGTTCCCTTAGTTATTACAAAAGAAATACATTCTCTCTTCTGCGTGAGAGTGCTCTCAGCTAAACATTTCAGCCGTTTGTTTCCATTTATGCCCCTGGTTCTGGTTCTTGACAAAGATTCTAGATTGTCAGTATCCTTAAATCGTACCACCTGCACAATAGAGTACCATATTCTAGATGCACTTTGGTCACTTGTGCACAACAGGATGATTGCTTCCCTTAATTCTAGATATTAAACTGGTAGTAATGCCACCCAGTATCTCATTAGTGTATTTCACAGACACCTCACACCATTCATTCTGCACTTACCATGAACTCTAACCTCTTTGAAGTTTCTAAGTTACTCTTTTCCCATCTTGCCACTGTCCTGTGTTTGAATGGTTTAATTTTTTGACCCCTAAGTGTGGGGCTTGATACCTCTTACACTTTATCTTAGTAAATTGGATCATTTTCCTGGTCCCTGGATCTTGATCTTGTTATTTAATATATTAGCTATCTCTTAACATTTTATGTTTCCACTTTATGTCAAATTTGATAAGTATGTCATCAAAGGTCTTACATGATTCATTAATAGGACTGGTTCATTAATAGGACTGGGCCAACCGTAGAGCATTCCACCAGAGACTTCCCTACAGGTTGACATCTGTCTGTTGAATCAGTGTTTATTCAACTACTTAGGAGTCTCCTGATCTATATTGTACACAGTCCCAGGTTTACAGTTTGTCCCCAGGGGTGTCATAACAATGGTATTGTGTTTTGAAAAAATGGAGACTTAAAAAAATATGCCACTCCACCCTACCCTCAACTAACCAGGCCACTCACTTTTTTTTTTTCTTTTCCCTTAAGTTGGATAAATCCCCTTCAGGTTAAGCACTTAATTTTCTTTGAGTTCACAAACCATCTCTTAAATGATGTGTTCTAATATAATGCCACATACCAGTGTTAAGGCAACTAATCTGTATTTGAAGGTTCCCCCGCCCCACCCCCCACCCCCGCCTTTTTGTATTTTTGAAAACTGAGAAATGGACCCATCTTCAGTATTTCACACCTCTTTGGACCACAGTGAAACTGCTAATTAGTGAAAGAATGAAACTGCCTATGTTTTTAGTACACTAAATGATATAGTAGCAACAGCAGTTTACATATAATAGGACACTTCCTGCACTTGAACTCCATACAAATGTTAATTTATCCTGGAAAATAATTGATCCAAGCCGAAAAACTTAAACTCCTTTAAACATATAAGTGCTCGTTTATCTTGGCCTCAGGTCCTTCCCATTGTCATTTCCCTACCTGCAGTTTTTCCACATTTTCCCCAAGCTCGCCTCATTGTGGACTTCATCCTTCCCGATTATATTCTTATAATTAAGAGTCACTATTCTGTCTCTGTGTTCTGTATGCATCTTTCCAGCTTTTGTATGTTCCACCTCATAGAGGAACAGCTTGTACAATTACCTAGAAATGTTAAATGATATCCCCTTCTCTCCATCATAAATACCATTTACAGTTGTATTTTCAGATTTTCTTTTAAGAAATTCTCTCTTTAGAGCCCTTATCTTCGCTCTAAATTCTTTGGAACCTGCCTTCTCAAAATCTTGAAAGTCTAGAAAAGGTCTTGACCATGAAGACTAGCTTCTATTATTTTTTTTTAAATGTTTATTTGATTTTTTGAGAGAGCGAGCAGGGGAGGGGAAGAGAGAGAGAGGGGGACAGAGGATCTGAAACGGGCTCTGTGCTGACAGCATGAGTGCCCAACATGGGGCTCAAACTCATGAACCACAGGATCATGACCTGAGCTGAAGTCTGGACACTTATCCAACTAAGCCACCCAGGCACCCCAAGACTTGCCCGTTTTGAAGTCAGCTCTAGATTAACCTCAACCCATTTCAGAAAACTAGTATATTTGATTCTTGAATCCTGACCCATTTTCATAATGATTTTTATTTATCCTCAGATAGAGAAGTTTTTCCCTCATATCCTTGAAAAGGAGAAAACAGCCCAGGAAGGGGAGCTGTCTAGCCTTTCTCCAGAGGAGCTGGTCTTTGCCAAACAGTGAGTGAGCAGGACACGGGGGAGCTGCTTGCTTTCCCTGGCTTGTGAGCATGACTTTTGGTGGTTGTCTCCATGGAGCCGATGGTTGGGCCACTATTGCGCGCCTGCCAGCCCGGCAGTTCCTGCCGGGCATGTGGTCACCGTGATCTCAATTCCTCTCTTTCAGGTACATGGCTAACACGGAGACCTACCTCAAGAATGTTGCCTTAAAACATATGCCTCCTAACTTACAGATGGTGGACCTCTTGAGGTCAGGTGAGCAGAGCGCTCTCTTTTCAGACATAGCTTCAGGCACCTTAGAATAAGATCCTCGAGCCCAGAAAAATGAGTATGTAGATAAGCAAAAAAGAGAAGAGAAACAGTATTGTGGATCCAAAACAAATCATTGAAAGCAGGTGTAAGGGTAGCCATTGCAGCATGAGTTGTGGTCTTCAGCTTAGGCTGAAATTGTTAGGACCACCATCAAAAACGTAGACTCATTCACATGGTCAGCCATTTGTTCCTTCAGGCGGTATCTATCTGGGCATCCACACCATGCTAGGCCCTTCTGAGCACTGAGGAGGCAAAAGCCTGTACACCCAAGGGGCTCGCACGCTTTTCCTCACAGATTCCAGCCCGTGCCGGGACTGCCTAGCTGCAAAGGCGAGTTAAATAGGCTAAACAGACCTTCAGTGATTCCTGCTCACTTCCTAGACACCCGGAGGAAGAGCTCCCGGGATTTTTCGTTGTGTGGGGCGTCTCATGGAAAGGGGAGCAAGGCTGAGAGCTAGAGGAGAAAGGGAAGGCAGCTGGGAGAGGGGAAACCCGGCCAAAGCCACCTTTGTGCTCATCTCGCACGGTCCCCTTAACATCCTGCTCAGCTGAGGGAAGGGAGTGACGGTAGTCACTCTCAGCCTGGGATCAGCCAGTCAGGGACCCAGGCCCCTGGCTTGTAGGTTCAAGTGCATAGCCCTCCGGTGTTGGCAACTTGACATGACCCAGCAGGAACTCATCCAGCAAAATTGCCAGGCTGAATGAAACAGTTCTCTGGGACCCCCCTTGTTCATAGCCTACATATAGTGTGCTGAGGCCACAAGGTCAAGTACACCTGAGCTCTGGGAATCCATCTCCCATGCATCCTGTCCCGGGGGCCACACTGGGGCCCCTATGGCGGGAGGATGGTTGCCCAGGCGTCTCAGTCAGCTATAACGAAGCATGAAGACTGGAGGGCTTAAAGAAATTTATTTTCTCAAGGCCGGAAGCCTATGATTGGGGTGCTAGCAGGCTTGGTTTCCTCTGGGGCCTGCCCCATGGCTGCCACTCTGTGCACACGCGCCTGTCCTGTCTCTTCCTCTTCTTATAGGGACACCAGTCCACCTGGACCTGGCCCTACCCTAAAGGTCTCCTTTCAGCTTAGTTAGCTCTTTAAAGGCCATTTCCAAATACATTCCCATTCTCAAAGACTGGGGTTGGCTTCAGCAAATGAAGTTTGAGGGGACTCAGTGCAGCCTATAACCCCAGGAGCAAGGCAAACCCATAGCAGATTTGTGGAGCTCTGAGCTGGTCATTTGGTGAACCTGCCTGAGGAAAACGAAAGGCCCAGTCCAGGTCCAGTTCAGCCACTTTTGTCTACACCTTGGAAGAGTAGGAATGAAGCAAGGACCATACCCCTAGTCATTGCCCAGCGATATCGCATCTAGTTGATTCAGACAGCCCTGAACATGCATCTGAATTCCTGAAACTGACTCTAACTGAATTCTGCTCCATGCTGGTGGACACCTCCTAAAACAGTCACCTGTCACTTGTCCCAGATCCCTTCCGAGGACTAGAGCCAGGCCCCCTGGAATTGGGAGCTTGCGGGGGGGAATCAGCCTGCTCCAGTGAAATCCATCTTGCTTTGTTAGCCCGGGTGCCCTGAGTTCCCCTCAGACCTCTAGAGCATCGTAGACCCCACTGGCGGAGCGAGTAAAAGCATTTTGAAATCTAAGCTGGGTTTCCTGGAATCAGTAGCTGCTCAGTGGGGGCAACTGACCCTGTGAAGTTGGAGTGTCTTTGGCAGGCCCCGAACCCCGGAGCAGTCCAGGGGGATCCCCTTACACCTTTGAGCCAATTATCCTGAACCCACACCGGTGGATGAGGGAATCAAGGGCAATACGAATGCTAAGCAAGCGCATTAGAACTGAGAGTTATCCAGTAGGTTCTCAGAACCTGCAGTTGAGGGAGTCCTCCGGGCACACACGGAGCTCTAGGAAGGGAGAGCTGTTGAGCAACCTAGCCCAGGGCACCTCCTTACATGAAATGTTAGCTGATGGTGGAAGAGGCAATAGCCTCTTACCCTGTCATCAGCCAGTGAAGGGCCACTTGCAGTGAAAACCTGTATTCCATAGTCTGACATTCAGGAGTGTCCCACCACCCAGCCTTTCTCATTCTCTCTCCTCCTACTCCTTTGTATAAAAATATTGTCTCACTAGAGTTATACAGTCTGTCCTCCCAAAACATCACGCATATCTCTACATTGGCCCTTGGTATTACCTCCCAGGCTCTTTCCCTCATTAAGTCTGCATTGACTTCTTTCTCTCCACTTCCCCGAGTGAATGTGCCACCAGTGTGAGGCTTTATCAGATGCTGCTGGTAGCCCTTTCCAGAGCGGCCACATGTTATGCTTGTTTGTATCTTCCATGATGTGTGGTGGGATTTGCAGCACATTTTATTGCATGAGCTGTTGCCGTGTGAAACCACAGATTGGAAGCGTGCCGTTTCTATAAAGAGCCAGATCTCTCAAGCTCCCCTTCCCCAAGAATGCTTTCACATCAGGGGTCCCTTAGTGCTCAGGACAATTAATCCCGGCAACTTTCCCACATTGATCTTGTTGGCTGAGCTTTTTCTGACTCCGCATTATCATTTCTCTGGCAGTTCCCAAACCAGATCTAGATTCATACGTGTTTCTGAGAGTAAAAGAACGCCAGGAGAACATACTGGTAGAACCGGAAACAGATGAGCAGAGGTGAGTCCTTGATGGTGGGAAATCTTCCTCCACTGGGGCACCAGCTCAGCTCTGCGAATACACTTTTTCCTTCTTTTCCAGGGACTACGTGATTGACATGGAGGAAGGCTCACAGCACTTGATCCGTTATAAAACCATTGCACCTCTGGTGGCTTCTGGAGCAGTTCAGTTGATTTAAAGTCGAAAGTAAATAAACAAGAATGACGGGCTGGAACCTTAAAGAAAATATTTAGAAACTTCTCACCACTTTGTGTCTAAGCACAACAGGCCTCCTCCGCAGTACTGTGGGTCACTTGGGCATGGAGAAGGAGCCCCAGGCAGGTTCCTGACTGGCCACGAGGGCTGACTGCTGTTTTCTCCACAGTCAGTAGATGGCGCCATCGCGCTGCTGATTCGGCACTTGGTTCTCTCTTTGTGCGCCTTTTCCAACGGAAGATAAAATGTCTTCAGGGGCATCTCGCTAGACTGTGTGAACTAACCTTCTGAAACCTCTACTGTTGGACTTAGAACCAGTTTCTGCCCTGGCTAACTGAGAATCACAACGAAACCAATAAACCATTCTTAAGTTTCTGTTTGGTGGCAGAAGGAGCCTCTGGACAGGTCTCGGCTTGTAGCCTAATGATGTACGTTCTCCCTGCTGCTAAGCTGCAGCCTTTCCCCGAATCCCAGGCAGCCTTGCCAAGCCACCCTCCTGGCCATCTGGCCATTCTTGGCCAGGAATCTGTTAACCGCAACATTATCTTAGCTTGTGACCTCAGTTAGCAGCGTTTCTGTTTTTAGCTTTCTCAAGGGAAATGGATGAAATTAAACTAATATGAGGGGGGAGTATCACAGGGATACCTGAAGGGAGGCGGTAGAGAAAGTGAATGAACCGTCTTTCCTTGAAACGTGAGAATAAGGAAGCCTGCACTCCAGTCTTGCTGACTAGAAAGCAGCAGATTTTCATTTATATGATACAGGCTGTTAATCAATGTAACATGGTTATCATTTCCAAGAGAAATCACGAAGTGAAAGCAAGGAAGGTTTTATTCATTAATAAAAACATTTTCTATTTCACACAGTGCTTTGTTTTTTTCCACAGTGACTTTACCTTCCTCAGCCATTTATATTGTATTGAGCAGACAGTGTGCCAGGCACAGTTCAAGGCACTGAAGCTCCAACCCAGAATAAGACAGTCACTGTCACTGTCCACATGGGGTAAGTGCTTTGCAGAGGATTGGAACGGGGTGACTCCCTAGAGAGTAACTAGATTGGCATTGAGGGGTTCTCACTGAATTCAGTGAGTCTCACTGAATTAGGCCAAGGTCTGAATACCAAGAAGGAGCCAGACACACACAGATCAAAAGGAAGGTCATTCCAGGCAGAGGACAGCTTGTACAAAGGCCCTGAGGCAGAAACGAGCTCTGTGGGCAGTCAATGTGCAGAGAACGCAATGGGCAAAGTGGAAAGCGGTTCACAGGAGGGTCTGAGGAGCAGGCTGGGCCCAGGCCATGTAGGGCTTTGCTAGCAAGGATCCCTGTTGGCTCCCCAAGCAGTCCTGAGAAGTAGGCAGGGCTCGCAGCAAGTAATAGGTGGAAAGTGGGTGCTTAGTGGTAAGTCTGGGACTAGAAACCACGTCCCCCTCCTAATCGCATGAATGCAAGCTCACTCCCCATCGCCTCCCTTGTGCTGAGCAGCCTATGGAGGGATGTGGCTATTAGGCTATTAGCTAGAACAGTGCCCAGAGATCTTGTTAAGATGCCGACTCCGAGTCAGGAGGACTGGGCTGGGGCCAGGGTTCAGCCCTCCTGATCAGCCCCCAGGCCATGCTGTTGCTTCTGATCCAGGAGTCACACTTCTGAGTAGCAGGGCTCTACGTCACCACCAGCTCCTGGCCTGGACATGTCAGGCTGCACGGAGGAGTTCAAGGTCGCTACGAAAGCCACAGAGTGAATTGCTTCATTTCCTAGGCCCCCTTTTCAAAGGAAGACTGGCTTAAATCAGTCATTTTAAGATAAAGGGGAAGTTCAGTTTCAAAACCAAGTCAAACAGGAAATGAAGTGGCTTAGTGTGACATGGACTTCAACTTTTCCAGTTTGTAGTGAGTATTTTGCTCTATTGATAAAAACCCATCATAGAAGCATGACTCGTTTTCTTCAAATAATGGCATCATGCTTCACCATGAGCTTGATGCTGGCAAAATGGCTCTTCCTGAGAAGCGCCTGCACGTCCGTCTCTGGGTTCTTCCCCAGTAGCACTCGTGACTCGGCTATGACCTTGTGACGAGGTCAGCTGTATTCACTCCGTGCTCAGGACCCAGCAGGCAACATGACTTCAGTGCCATCCTCGTATGCATCGAACATCTTTCTGTGATGCACACGAGTCAACCATAGAGCTTTCAGAGCAAATTGTTAGGCAAGCACATAATATTACCAATTTTAATATAATGTTAAATTTTTTCACGGGAGGCTAAAATTCCAAACATTTGGACTTCAAGAATTCATTTTTTTAATATCGTGGTAAAATACACATACAGTTTCCCATCTTAGCTATTTCTAAGTGTACCATTCAGTGTATTAAATCCATTTATATTGTGTGGCCATTGCCACTGTTCGTCTCTAACTTTTCATCTTGTAAACCCGGACCTCTATACCTTATTAACAATAGCTCCCTATTATCCCCTTCCGCCAGCCCCTGAAAACCACTGTTCTACTTTGTACTCTACTTTGTACTAATTTGTACAACACAGATGTACAGATATCTCTTTGAGGGGCGCCTAGATGGCTTAGTTGGTTAAGCATCCGACTTTGGTTCAGGTCATGATCTCGCAGTTCGTGGGTTCGAGCCCTGCGTCAGGCTCTGTACTGACAGCTCTGAGCCTGGAGCCTGCTTCGGATTCTGTGTGTGTGTGTGTCTCTCTCTCTGCCCCTCCCCTGTTGCCTGTCTCTCTCTTTCTTTCGAAAATAAAGAAACATTTAAAAAAAATTTTTTTTAAATCTCTTCAAGACCCTGCTTTTAATTCTGTATACCCAGAAGTGGAATTGCTGGATCGTATGGTAATTCTATTTAACACTGGAAATGTTATGCTGTTTTCCACAGCAGCTGTACTATTTTACATTCCCACCAACGGTGTGGAAGACTTCCACTTTCTCCACATCCTCACTTATGCTGTTTTCTATTTTTCCTTTATTTTTTTAAAGTTTATTTATTTAGAGACAGGGAGGGAAAGAGAAAGAGCACAAGCAGGGGAGGGGCAGAGAGAGGAGAGAGAGAGAGTCCCAAGCAGGCTCAGCACTGTCCGCGCAGAGTCAAACGAGGGGCTTCGAGCCATGAGATCATGCCTTGAGCTGAAACCAGGAGTGTGACACTTAACCAACTGAGCCACCCAGGCACCCCTCTACTTTTGTTTTATGATGGCCATTCAAATGGGTGTGTAGTGGTATCTCGTAGTTTTGATTTGTTTCCCTAATTATAGGTGATGTTGGGCATCTTTTCATGTACCATTCCTATATCTTTTCCAGAGAAATGTCTATTCAAGTTCTCTACCCATTTATTTTTAGTTTATTTTTTGAAGTTTACTTATGTATTTTGAGAGACAGAGAGAGTCCCAAGCAGGCTGGCATTGTCAGCATGGAGCTTGATGAGGGGCTCGAACCCACGAACCATGAGATCATGATCTGAGCCACAATCAAGAGTTGGATTCTCAACCAAATGAACCACCGAGGTGCCCTTCTTCACCCATTTTTTAATTGGGTTGTTGGTTTTTTTTGTTGTTGCATTTTAGGAGTTCTCTGTGTATTCTGGATATTGACCCCTTATCAGACATACGATTTGCAAACATTTTCTCCCATTCTGTGGGCTGCCTTTTTACTCTGTGAATAATGTCTTTTGATGCATATAATTTTTAAATTTTCATGAGATCTACTTTGTCAATTTTGTCTTTTGTTACCTGTGCCTTTGGTGTCATAGCCAAGAAATCTTTGTGAAATCCAATGTCATGAAGTTTTTGTTGTATGTTCTCAAGAGTTTTATTGTTTTTCAGGGTTTATGGTTAGGTCCTTGATTTATTTTGAGTAAATTTTCTATATGTGGAATTAGATAGTCCAACTTCCTTTTTTTTTTTTTTTTTTTGCATATGGCTATACAGTTCCCCCCTACACACACACACACACACACACCACCACCACCACCATTTATTCAAAAGACTTTCCTTTTCCCATTGAATGGCAAAAGTCATTTGACCAGATATGTCAGGGTCAATTTCTGGACTCTGTATTCTGTTCCACTGGTCTATATGTCTGCCACGCTATTTTGATTACTATAACTTTATAGTAAGTTTAGACATCAAGAAAGTGTGAATCCTTCAGTTTTGTTCTTTTTCAAGACTTTTTTCATTCCTTGGGGTTTTCTTGAGATTACATATGAGTTTTAGGATGTATTTCTTTTTTTTTTGCAAGAAAAATGTTGGTAGGATTTTGATAGAGACTATAGTATAGTATAGTTTTCCTTGTATAAGGCTTTCATCTCCTTGGTTAATTCCGAAGTATTGTATTCTTTATGATGCTATTGTAAATCGAACTGTCTTTATAACTTTACATTGTCTGTGTATAGAAATGTAACTGATTTTTGTGTATTTGATTTTGTATCCTGCACTGTACTGAATTCATGTATTAGTTCTAACAGCTTTTTTGTGAAGTCGGAGGTTTTCTACACATAAGATCAGATCATCTCAAACAGAACTTTGACTTCTTCCTTTACAGTTTGGCTATCTTTCATTTCTTTTTCTTGCCTAATTGCTCTGGCTAGAACTTCCAGTACTGTGTTAAATACAAGTGGTAGAAGCAGGCATCATTGTCTAGTTCCTCATCTTAGAGGAAAAGCTTTCAGTCTTTCCATTTAATATGGTGTTTGCTGTGGCTTTTATTGTGTGGAGGTAGTTTGCTTCTCTTCCTGTTTTGCTGAGTGTTTTTATCCTGAAAGGGTGTTGAATTTAGTCAAATGCTTTTTCTGTATTAATTGAGATGATCTTATGGCTTTTTTCCTTCATTTTGTTGATGTGGCCTATTACATTTTCCCATTAGTACTGCTCTTGCTACATCTCATAAGTTTTGCTATACTGTGTCTTCATTTTCATTTACATCTGTTTTCTAATTTCCTTTATGATTTTTAATTTGAGCCATTGGCTGTTTAAGTGTGTATTGTTTAATTCCTACAATTTTGTGAAATTTTCAGCTTTATTTTTTTTTAATTTTCTTAACATTTATTTATTTTTGAAAGAGAGAGCGAGCGCAGGAGGGGCAGAGAGAGGGAGACACGGAATCCAAAGCAGAGGATCTGAGGCTCACAGCACAGAGCCTGATGCAGGGCTTGAACTCCCAAACCGTGAGATCATGACCTGAGCCAAATTCAAGAGTCAGCTGCTTCACTGACTGAGCCACGAGCTTTACTTCTGTTATTTATTTGTAACTTTATCCTGTTGTGGTCAGAGAAAATGCTTTGCATGATATCTATCTTTTTCAAATCTCTTGAGACTTAATTGGTGGCCTAAAATGTGGTCTATTCTAGAAAATGTTCCATGTGTACTTGAGAAGGATATGTATGCTACTGTTGGGTAGAGTGTTCTGGATCTGTTAGATCCAGTTGGTTTATTGTGTTTAAGTCCTCTGTTTCCTTACATAACTTCTATTTGTTCTGTTCATTATTGCAAGGGGGGCACTGAGGTCTTCAACTGTTATTGTAAAACTGTCTATTTCTCCCTTCAATTCTTGCTTCATATATTTTTGATGGTTGGCCATTAGATACACAAATGTTTGTAACTGTTATATCTTCTTGCTGTATTGAACCTTTTATTAATATATAATGTTCTTCTTTGTCTCTCATAAACTTTTTTGATTTAAAGTTTATTTTGTCTGGGCCGCCCGGGTGGTTCAGTCTGTTAAGTGTCCAACTCTTGATTTCGGTTCAGATCATGATCTCATGGTCATGAGATCAAGCCCCATGCTGGGCATGGACCCTGCTTAAGAGTCTCTTTCTCCCTCTCCCTTCCCCACTTGCATGCACGTATGTACTCTCTCTCT